TGGCTGAAGAAATTGCTTCAGCATTTACTGGAGTGACTGGGGGAAGCTTCCTCTTTCAGGGTGGAGGGGAGGAGGCAGGACTCTGGGGTGAGACAGTCGCTTTCTAAAAATACCAACAAACTCAGCATTAGTGTTTGGGTTTTATTTCTAGCTTGGCGGGTGTGAACAAGCCTGTCATTGTGCTCTGTTGCAATACTTGCCTATCTTGTGAGAGCCCTGCCAATCTTCCTGAATTAATAGGCTTGATTCCTGGGTTATTTGCCCTCTTCTGGGAAGACACATGACCACAAGCATGCCAGAGCTGGGCTGAGCTGATGTGGAAGAGCAAAAAATTAAATGCTGTTTTACAACTGGCATGAAGTTCTCTAATACTGATCCAGATATGTTAGCCTATTGGAGCAGTCATCTAGTGTTTTGGTAGTAGGTGGCAGCTTAGAGGACAAGGGGGAATGGATTAAAACTGGAAGAGGGGAGATTGAGGTGAGACATGAGGAGGGAATTGTGGAGTGTGAGGGTGGTGAGAGCCTGGCCCAGGTTGCCCAGGGAAGCTGTGGCTGCCCCATCCCTGGCAGTGTTGAAGGGCAGGTTGGATGGGGCTTGGAGCAACCTGGGCTGGTGGGAGGTGTCCCTGCCCATGCAGGGGGATGGATCTGGATGATCTTGAAGGTCCCAACCCAAACCAGTCTGGGATTCTATGATTTAGTCTGACTTCAGGCTGACTTATGCTGGCAGCCAAAGTGCACAAAGCTTCACTGGGCAGCAAAACTAAAAGCAAAACCCTCCTGCTGCTGTTGATCTGTTCACTGCTGGGGAGGCTGGCAGTTGAGCAGTGAAGAAAGGGATTGAAGGAATTAATGGTCATTAAGTTAAGAATTCTAAAGAAATATTAGGGATGTGCTATGCTGCCACAGTGCTGGATCATGGGGAAGTGTTGCAGAAAGTGAGCAGGTCCATGTGTGGTCCCCAAGTACTGTCTTGTTGCTGTCAGTGGGTAAGATCATAGAATCCCAGACTGGTTTGGGTTGGAAGGGACCTTCAAGATCATCTACATCCCCCCCCCCTGCATGGGCAGGGACACCTCCCACCAGCCCAGGTTGCTCCAAGCCCCATCCAACCTGCCCTTCAACACTGCCAGGGATGGGGCAGCCACAGCTTCCCTGGGCAACCTGGGCCAGGCTCTCACCACCCTCACACTCCACAATTCCCTCCTCATCTCTCACCTCAATCTCCCTCTTCCAGTTTTCATCCCTTCCCCCTTGTCCTCTCCCTCCCTGCCCTTGTCCCAAGTCCCTCCCCAGCTTTCCTGGAGCCCCTTCAGGCACTGGAAGGTGCTCTAAGGTCTCCCTGGAACCTTCTTTTCTCCAGGCTGACCACCCCAACTCTCAGCCTGTCCCCAGAGCAGAAGTGACTTGTGTTGGTAGCCATCCTGGGGAACGATGCTCAAAAGGCCATTTTGAGGTGCCCCCTAATAGTGATGCTGGTGCTGTATATTCACCTTGAGGAGGGTAAATATTGCAGATCACCTTGTTTGCATTCACCAGTGGAGCCTGCATACCAGGGAGTAAAAATTTAACTGCTGTGTGCCAGCTTGGAGCTGTGGCTGCAGGGAGCTCAGGATGAGTGTGGGGCAGGCAGGAGCTGGCAGCAAAGAGGGGGACGTGTGTCCAGCTGGGGACTGGCCATGCTCTAATTTTTTCATTTCTGATGTGTCCAGGTCTTTTATTTTTAACAACCAAACCCAGGATCAAATGCAGAAGTGCTGTTGTCCCTTTTGTTTCCAAATGCTTCCTGAACTTGTCTGGTTTTTAGTTTCTGTGGAGGTGTGGAGGTTTAATGACCAGGCAGTGTCCACAGCAAGCTCTGCTCTGGCAATATTTATGGGGTGCACAATGGCTGTTGCTTGCAGAAGAAGGAGGGGAGGAAAAGTCACTTATTTCTTCTTCCAAGTGTGGATTGTGACACCCTTGGAGAAACAAAAAGGTCTCTTGAAAGCATGAAGCTGAGGTTGTCTGGCAGGCCTGTGGTGTGGGGATGGCAGGAAGGTGGAAACTGCCAGTGAGATGAGGCCCCATTCTGGTGGGTCCAGGACAGGCAAGTAAATAATTGTAGAACAAGGCAGCAGACAAAAGAGCTGGCTCAGCTTGGGCCACGGGGTGGGAATCGTGTCAGCACAAAACAACAAGGGAGGGAGTTGCTGTCCAGAAAGAAGAGCAGGGGCAGAGGGTATGCTCAGCTCTCTGGCTCCTCAGACTTGCTGGAACCCCCTGCAAATCCATCCTGGCTCTCACAGCCCTCCTCAAAAAGGGCCTTGTGGGCTGCCTGGCTTTGGAGAAAAATGAGCTTTTCATTCCAGGGTGAAAATGTTGCTTTTAGCAGCTGGTTGGGTGGGTGTCCTGGTCCCTGGGGGTTCTCACATTGCTGGGAGGTGGCTCTGGTTACCAGGGAGAGCCCAGCAGGGAAGGCAGGAGCACAGCTACCCCCTCTGGCTGGTGCTGCTTGCTCCTGCTCCACTGGAGGAGCAGTTTTGCCAGGATGGCATTGCAGCACACACACATGCATTCCTTCCTGGAATATAAAAAAATAAAGGCAAGGTTTCCAGGCATCAGCTGGTACTTTGTGCCTTCTTCAACCCAGCAAGGTAAGTCTCCAGGAAGCAGCTGGCTGGCTTTCAGAGAGAGTGGTTTGTGGGCTGGTTTTTGGGGATGTCTCATGTTAAGATTCTCAGGAATCACCAGTCACTCCTGAAAAATCCTGACCTCAACTTTTAGAAAGGTCACAGTGTTTATTAAGATAAGTCAGCTTAAAAGAATGACTTGACTTTTGCTCTAGGGTCTAGGAATGAGTGGCTGAGATTCCATAACCTTAAGTATGTGGCCTGAAGTGTTGTGGGTTTGGAGGTCTTGGCTCAGGAGATATTGATTAATCCAGAAGGGGGTGAAGGTCCCAGGAATGGAAAAGTTGCATTTCACATGGTCTGATTTTTGCCTAGGAGTTCTTTCAGGTATTCAGGGCCCAATTCAAGGGTTGGATTTTTTTAATGATGTGGCTCATTGGACAATTTCTTCTTCTTAGGATGTGGTGGGAGGCTAATTCTTACTCATAGCTGGTGGTTGGATCTTTGGTATCTCTTATCCTGAAAGCTGTTTTACGTAAGAATGGGTTTTAATTTTTCAGTTGTCAATTGCTGCTCCTCCTGAAATGAGTGCTTTGGTTTGGTT